ATATTTCTGGGTGTACGGTATTTGCTATGAAGAGAATAACTGCCGACTTTTTCTGAACATAAAAAATGTTTTTGTGAAAAAAATGTGCCAGTCAGAAATAATATATAAAAGTTGGGGCAGAAGTGAAGCATTCCTACTTTATAAAGTTTTGTTCCACGACGTCAGGCGCGAATGTTGATATTCTGAATCATACTGACAATTAGCCATAATTTATTTTCCTTTGTTATATGCGTTGTGCGAGAGTCTGACACAATGCCGTCTGACATGAAAGTGCGTTGGAAGCAGTGTCAGTGAATTCTTCTATGCGGGAACAATGTCGGTAATTGATATTAACCAAAGATTTATGAATGTTTATGTAGATCAAACATTGGACATGAGCACACTTAGGTAGTCGTTAACATGTTTCACAAATGACAACGTTAGGGAAAATAAAAGAGAGTATATACGAACAATACTTCCCTAACAACATCATCATTTTCAGGAAATATATTTAAAAAAATGCAATTTTTGCTGAAAACTTACTACTCTATTCAATAGTGTTACTGCACTTCAATTATCTGTTCTCTTTTCCGTGTAAACAAATAGGTTTTCTTATTACACGCGAATGATATATTTTACTATATAATACATTGTCACCGCAGACATGAAGAATCAATGTGGCTAACTATTATAAAAATATTGTTTTTTTGCTGAAAAGTTTCGCTATTCAACGATATTGTTGGGCTTCTTTTATCTTCTGTAGGTAAGGTGCATATATCTAGTATGAATAGCTATTAGAGAAATTCCTCGTATTATTTATATATATATATATATATATATATATATATATATATATATATATATATATATATAAAATAGTGGTAAATATACACATACATTTGCAAAAAAATATATATATACATAGGTGCATACACATACATGTATATTTTTTTGAATAAAAATTCTGAGAGGATAGAATACAGGTAGAACTCAATGTCCAGGACAGAGTAAGGATATAATAAAAAGGTTTAAACACTAATATTCCATGGTCATGATTTATTCCATTATAACCTCTGTTAAGTTTGAATCTCCCACCTTCTCTCGTCTGTTACCCCTCTCTTTAACACTAACATTCGTCCCACACTCTCATACTTACACTCTCTCTAAATTCTATTTTTTTCCGGAGTTTTTTCTTTTCTGTTTTCTTTTTGAATTTGTAGGTCTGATGAATTGGATCGTATTGACGATTCCAATGGAATAATTATGACCATGGAATATTAGTGTTTAAGCCTTTTTATCATATATATATATATATATATCTTCGCTGGCTGCCTTTTTTATCTGCGACGGGTGAATGTTGTTAGTATGGTAATATATACTTAACTTTTCCATCAATAAATACAAATTTTTACCTTAGTTAAACGGTGGTTTGAAAAATTCGTGTCTGATATGAAAGTTCCCAGTGTTGTATCAGAAAATTCCCCTATGTAAAATGAATTGTTCTTATTCATGGTTACTTGCTGAATGCTTACGGAGAATATAAGTCAGGACCACGAGACACAATACGCACTAGGGTCGAATAGGCACCACATGTAGAAGTAGTCTTCGGCAACAAAGCCTGACAGAGCCCAATCCTCTCGTGGCTGATTTTCAGAATTTTCCTTCTCCTATGGCTGCCACTCAAGGCTATAGAACCCAGTAGTCTGCCCTACTATTTACCAATAGCTGGGGGAGAAGTGGCGGATTCATGCCTTTCCCAAGGGTATTAGAAAGTAAGTGATTGTAAAGAACTCGATGGAATTTGAACTTGGCTCTCTGATTCCTCACTCCGAGCTGCTATCCATTACTCTAACGTGCCTCCATGCACAGTTAGGAAACGAGTAATAAATTTTGACAATGGAGAGGGCCGATGTATCTTCAAAAATTAGTCTATTCGTATGAATTTCAGAAAATGGTTGCAAGGCTGGATTAACCTTTAGCAGTGAAAAAATATTTTGTTCTTTTAAAGAAAAAAGAATGAAACCGTTCCTCCTATGTTTGTTGTAGATTCAACGGAAATAAATAAGAATCCTTACGTTCGTAACTACTTCTCATATTTTTATATATCAATAACGTATCTTACTGTAGAATACGCCGTCATCACTTGCACACTATATCAAAAAACTTTTATTTAAATATATACCCTGTTGTTGTTTCCTTCCTAATAAATAGTAGACATTGCATTTGAAATGTCCTTGTATTTCTCGTTTTATATCCAAATAATTCTCAATGAAACATTTTTAGTATTATTAAAACGACTATGATATAAATCTATGTTTATATTTATTGGTAATATTTCTTTCAATTCCGATTCAATTAAACTTTCCCTTGCTTAACGTATTCATTTATCATCGCAAAGCCTTAACACTTCAACGCCATATTTATGAAATAAACATTTTTTAAAAATCTATTGCATATTCCCAACAATTTTATTATATCTTTTCCGTATGAAGCACTCGAATTTTAAAAGTAGAATTATCAATTGTAAGTCTAAACGTACGAATATTTAATAAAAAATGTTCTCTTCTATTTCTGTTTAGATAATGCAATATATATTTGCCGTATAAACAAAGAAAAAATGCCGAAACACCTAGAAATTTTGAATACGATAAAAAAAACTAAGATCAACGTGCTATAAACTACAGCAGCCATCTTGTTTATCTCTACTGAAAGCAGGATATTGGGAAAAGGAAATAAATGCTAATAATTTAATCTCTGTGAATTCAGAATTCATTTGGACAATGTGAAAGGCTTTACACCGTATTCTGCATTGATTCACAAACGTGGAAATAACAAACCTTTGCTCTGTTCATTTCCTACGTTAAAGTGGCAAATAATTCTAAGACCTTTCGTCAATACGCTAGCAATTAATATTAAATTATAGAGTTGCTTTAATGTATACAGATTAAATCATTTAACCCGATTCTCTATGAGGTCTATTAAATAGAAATTATCATCAACCTATCAACTTGCTTTTATAGTGTTATCCTCCATTGCTGATCCAACAGACTCACGCGAAAGATTCCACTATGTGTCTCTGGGATTTATAAATGACTACATAAAATTCAAAATACCCTCATCTTTTATTGTTTTACAAATATTCAAATTGTTTTCAAAATTATTTCAATTTTTATTATCATTTCACCTTTAGTAAAGATTATGTGTAGACACCCTTGAGAAAGATTTGGATCCATCTCTTCTCTTTGCCCACAGCTTTGGTTATATAGCAGTATAGTCTTGATCCTATAGACTTGGATGGCAACCGGTTTAGAAGATCGAAGACTCGAAATTCAAAACCTGTACAGATGCGACCAAATCCATATTTCCTGTGGATCAAGAGTTTGAAGATGGGCGCTGTTAATCTATACGAAAGTCTACAGAAGCAGTTGTGTAATTGATGATGATGATGATGATGATGATGATGATGATGATGATGATGATGATATGTGAATAATGTAACAGTTATCGATGGGGAAAAGAGGATCGATGAAGCGAGTTCAAGTTTGTTGCGTTTACTTTCGCTGCAATCTCATTTAGCAAAGCAAGAATCCATCTCCTCTCATCTTAGTTATGGGATAATAGCAATAAAGACTAGAATCTGGAAACATGGGTAGGAATCGGTCTAGAAGAAGAACAACTGTGAAAACGGTAACTGTTCAACGCCTGATATTTTCTGTGGAAATATATTAGAATAAATATGGAGAGGAATGATTGCTTTATTTACACATTTGTTTTAAAAACTTTTATTAGCACGGCATATATATTTGGGTATATTCGAAATATTTTCTCATTTTCTGATTGTTATAGATATCATTATTTTAGACAGAACATTTCAAGCACTCTCTGTTCATCTTCAGATTCCTATTGTTTTTGATATAGGATATTTTGTTTCATTGACAATTCGTTAGTTCAATACAAAGAAAATTATTAAACGTGGTACAAACCCGCCCTGGCAACAAAATGTCAGAATCATCTGACACTGAATTTAAATGCTTAAAAATAAACAAATACTGGCATTTAGAATAATGGTTTAGTGGTTAGCCAAGTGCTGCTGTTACCTCGTTATCAAGGGCTGGTGGGTCAGGTAGTAAAGCATTATGTATTTTTACATTACTGGGAACATGTATGGGTCGTTATCACATGGATAAAAAATAACACAATAATCACTACAAAATATACCCTCTATAGCAAAAATAATGAATACCTGAAGATAGCCAAAGTATATTTGGCCGAAACGTCGTGTCTGTAACTATAACAAAGACAGGAATAATGACATGAATATGTTCAAGTATATTGATAATTCTTCTTCTCAGACAATTCAATTCCTTTAAATCACAAGGTAGAAATGTTCGCCAGTCTAATGGTTGGCAGTATATAAACACCTTCTAACAGGGGGTCTGTATTTACTTCGTATTAATACCTTAAGAAAATACATGGATCTATTCCTCTTAGATATGAGCAAACATCAGGACCTGATCCTTTACAACACAATGAAAGCAAACTATAGAAAATTGATTATCACTACATATATTCACATTGCAACCAGAACCAGTTTTCCGGTCGTAAATTGTTAACTGAAATTCACATAATTATAACCTATGCATATTTAAAATATTTTAAAGTTTTACAGGCTTGTTCTATTTATCATTTATATATATATTCGCACTATTAATCTCCTAATTCGATGTTATCGCTGATACATTTGATCCCATTGTTTCGTTTTCTACAGCTTATGAAGCATTTATAGGTTATTTAAAGCCAGAAAATATTTTTAGATTATTAGAATTTTTCATGTAATAATGATTTAATGATATAAATCTTACTAATTAAACTATAACTGGGGGGGGGATAAGAGGTAGCTTCACACCTTTCTCAAGAGTAATTACGTGTAAGTGAATATAACGAACCAAACTGAAATTTGAACTCGGCTCTCCGATTGACAATTACTAGCCATTATACATTACACCACACGCACATCCAAGCTTACAACACATGGTATTCCGAAACGGTCACCAATCTAGGTAATGACTTGGCTCACGTTAACTTCGGTGATCATACGGGAAGCGGTGTTTCAACCTAATATGGCCGTAAGGACTTACAGAAAACAGTAATAGGTTTAATAATTCAGTAAATGCTTACATGAAAATAAAATATAGTTTTAGACCATTAAGAAAGCAATCGAAATATAAACATTAAAATATAAAACTGAAACGTAACATGATCTGAGGATCTATTCGGCCGGTCTACACTGAAGTGTCGCAATACTCTTGGTTGTAAATTATAGACATTTTCTTATAATTTTTATTTTCTTTGAATCTTATTTAATGCGATTAATCCATCGTTTTATATGAATATAAAGTGGAAGGACGTGTTATGTTTTTGGTAACGTTATCTTACCATCTATCAAAGAGGTCTTGTGAAAAACAAGAAAATGAAAATCGAAAAGCAGAGTTAATATGATCAAAATGAAATTCTTGCAGCTTAACATATTTACAGGAAATAAGCGTGATTTTTTTAAAGATTTAATTCAAGTGTTTGAAAATAAATTTCCTTATACATACGAAAAATCATCATTTTGTGGATGCATATACACATATTATCAGTGAAAATTCTTGAAGGTGAGTTGAGTTGAATGACGTGTGCGTGTCTGCATGTATATGCGCGTGTATGTATGTCACATATCTGTGACATACACCATCGAGAAACTAATGAAAATAATTCCTCCTACCTGGATTCGATCTATTTTTGAAGTGTAATTTGCCAGAAATGCCCAAGAAACTGAATTAGCAAAGTTTCCAATAAACAATAGAAAATAAAGAAAAAAGACCAGGACCAAAATCATACTAAGGAATAAAATAAAAATGCAAATCAAAACCAAGCAAATCAAGACTAATCAGGCGAAAAGTTCCCAAAATTAAAATGGTGTTAACACTCAAAGGGATACAGTCAATTGATTGTATCGTTCTGACTTCAAGACAAAATGCTCGACTGAGGCCAAGCTCAAGATGCATATGCACAATTTGACTATAAATTTTTGGAGGGGATGTTTTTAGCAACCATTCCTTAGATTAAAACCAACGACATTTTTATATGAGTATGCTGCCGAATAACAAAATCCGTTTGCAATTTGCTGCTTGATTTGCTATGATTGCCTCGCGAAACTTGACTTCATATACGTGTTAGAAACAGATCTTATATCTAATTGGCCTTGAAGAAATAAAGCTTTGTACTGTTGAAAACTTCAAAAGTCTATATAAATTAAGATTTAGTAAAAAATGAACAAATCAGAGAGAATCGAATTAAAGTGGACATATTATTTTATTTTTATTTATTCTTCTTCTCACTGTGCAATCGACGATTAAACGATTGCAGTCCCCAGGTACACCAATAAACACACAAAAACACACACACACTATAGAATGAAAAGAAGGAAAAGCGTTTAAAATATGTTGACATTTGTTCTGGTTGTGGGAAGGTCCGTTTTACGCAGGGCCCAAGGATAAAAGCTATCCCTCAAATTCTTTTATTCTATTATTTAATCATTTTCTTATATTTCATTAAATAATTAATATGATAGGATATCCATACTTTTTAATTTTTTTTTAATTAATATGATACGATATCCTTACTGAATAGGTGACAACTTAAAATCTAATTATAATTTACAGAGAAAAATAAAAATTAAAATATATTATATATATATATATATATATATATATATATATATATATATATATAGTTATTAAGGTATTAGAAATGTTATATACTTCAAGTAACAGACATTCAAATTCAACCGAACACTTTTCTGTTAAATACTCGTACGCATTTTGTTTTTAGTATTATTTCCGTGCGTCAGGTGCGAATAAAATACAACGTATTAAGTAGTTAGTCCGTGTGATAGTTTGAGTAGCAGTCGGATTCATATACCTAGTTATCAAGAAATCTTGTTTTGTTCAGTTTGTTTTCATTAGTACGTAAACTGTCTCCATAAGAACAAACTGAACTTAAAAAAAGAGAGAGGAAAATCTTTGATAAAAATCAAAGCAACAATTACTATAATATAAAATCTTCCTAAATTTGTCACCCCTCCCACTCCTTTTACAATTTCATTACCTAACAATTTCGATGTTTTGTCTATTTTAATTATTTTTTTGCAGTTACCACTACTTTATAATTATTTATACAAATGTCGTATATGACGAACAAAGACGACAACAGTTTATCATAACATATGATTAGCGTGTAATATTTCAAAATCAGTTCTGATAGTTAGTCGTTTAGTTGCTATTATGCACATTGATCTTATGATGAGGGAATGAACTTTAAAAAAGCGTTACAACTAATAGTATACAATATTGCACTGTCTTGATTGATACCAGAAATACTATATATAATTTGTCTGTTTTAATCATTAAAAAAAAACTAGTTTTATACCCCAAATCAAATCACTGCAAAACGAAATGTGATTACAATCAAAGGGATGATACTAAATTGATTTATACCATGTATATCTTTAATCACTAACGGAATGGATTTAATTTTATTTACCAAGAGACAAATGTGCCCCACCCAAAACTACAATGCCATCATTAAATTTACGTAAAGAATAAATAACATTTTCAAAAGATACATATGGAAAAAAATGTAAAATTAATTTTGGGGGAGAGAAATATGTATTTCTTAGTAATTACATTGTACATGTAGTGTGCATATGACTGGCTGTAGGTAACAAATGTAGATAATTGAATTATTTAATTATTTTTAATTTGAATTAATTTGTTGCAAATTACAAATTAACAGATCGTTCAAAAACATAATAGAACATTTCATGCAGTCCACTATCGTTTGTGTTCACGAGATGATTGTGCAAATTTGTCAATAATTGCTTTTTCATCCAATTCATCTAATAATTCCTTTTCAATGAATAACGACATGTATGGTTCCAAAGTCTCCTCAGACAGCGAATTTCTTACCCTTGTTGGCTGAACCAAAACTACAGAATTTGCCGAGCATCTCAAATCACTACTTGTAACATATTCTTTAAATTCACACACTCTTGCTGAAAACATTGAATGACCTTAATTATACCCGACACGGGGCTCACATTCCACATACTTCCACTCCGTTTAATGTTTCATTCCTTTTCATCTAATGCTTATTTGTATCCCGTTCTTTTTGTATTTCGTAGTTTTGGGTTTTTTTTTATTAATATACAGTTATCTGCGTGAGTTTCCTTATTGTATATTTCTACACAGATTCGCGATACTTTAAGTTTAAGATTATTTTTTAAAAAATGATTTTTAAAAAATCCTTCTTGACGCTTTTATTTTTATTTTAATTTCAAGCTAATAGTTTAAATTCAATATCTCCAGTAAGTAAAATATTTAGCTGTATTTTAAAACTAATTTAAATTGACTGGAAGTTTTCGTTTTGAAATTGTGAAATCTTTCATCACAATGTAATTCCCGTTATTAAAAAAATCAATCTATCAAAAATGAAATATTTTTTTAATTTAATTTTGAGGAATATTAGCTGATTTAAAGTTTATTTAATCTGATTTTAAACAGATATTATTACTTTAAGCATAAAATATCACAGAAATACATTTTTAGCACTGTGCCATCTTGGCCTCACGTTTCCAACTGACATGAAGTGGAACAACTACATTGAATCATGGCTGCATCTACTGTAAGGAAATTTCGTTCACAGTGTCGTGACAGGATGTTTTTTCTTCAGAGTCTAGCTTGCACATTTACAAATATACCATTCGGGCTGCATTGAAATAGCTGGTCTGGTGTTCCTGCTATTCATCACGAGCTTCTTGACAAAATACAAAGAATTATCTGCAGTGTAATTGACCCTGACCTGGCCTCTCGACTTCAGTTACTTTCTCACAGACATGATGTGACTTCCGCTTGTCTTTTCTACAAATGACAGCTGTTCTAATGAGCTTTTTTCCCCGGTGACCTGACTACGTGAATTTAAACGTGTTACTAGATTGGCATCTAGGTCCCAGCCTTTTACTGTTGAAATAGTTAAATGTAACCACCATTTCTACTCCAACAGTTTCTTTTCTCGCACTTCCCGACAGTGGAAAGCCTGTCCGTTTATTTGCTTCCCTGAAAACTACAATCTTCAAAAATTTAAATTCAACGTCAAACGCCATCTTCTGTCATTCTTGAAGCCTATACATTCATTCCTCAATACACTCACTTTATCTACCCTTTTCTCTCACTTTCACTATTTGTAACCTCCTGTGTACTAATAGCATACCCGCCTAGCATGGGAGGAAAAGATAAAAAAAAAATTAATATTAACTAATAATAAGTTCGAGAAAATTTAATTTCTCGAAATTTCATAAAATTAAATAAGTGGTGGGGTAACAGATGTAAAGAAAACTTATTTTTACCAAGATTTTCTAAACAGAACACATTTCTAAAATAAATGAATTCATTTACGAATAAGTCTTGAGTGTTTCATTAAAATCCGTCAATTATTTGATTTTTTCATGAATTTCCAAATCAAAGTATTCTTACAGTAAAAAAACGTGAAAATTTCATATACTAATAATCCCCCCTCCCAATTGTGATGCAAAATATCAATATTTTAACCAAAATTCGGAACGTTCTAAAAAGGATAAAAAAATGTTATTGAAGAATCAAAATTCTTTGATCTTTCCTTTTAATAATGTCATAAAGGTTTTGACGATACAACTTTGTTTTTTATTAAGTTTTGAGCCTTTTCTCAACATGGTATGCTAATTTTGCATAAATCAGTGAAGGTACCTTCTTTATTGAATTCTAATTTGATACAAGGTACCCAATTCATCAGAAGCCCACTTGCCAGTCCGCCACAGTCTTTAATTCGTATCAGCTACCTTCCTTCTCGCAGTATTAAATGACAAATGAGAGAATCTTAGTAGAATTCTATTTTAAATTATGATATTTAAATCATCACAGCTGTAAATAATTCCAATAAAATACAAATTATATTTCACTCTTAAAACTTCTAGTCTAGGAAATCTAGTGATATATTTTCGCCTCCGAACCAACCCTGGTGACTTTACTTCTCGACCATAATCGAGACCAAAGAGTTTCATACATATATATCGACCATTTTCAAACATGTCGATACAAAAAATGACAACAATGCAGAAATAATATTTAAAAACCTTTGCTTGTGACTATAAAGAAAAGTAAGCATTCGTTAGATTTGTGAAAAGCCTATTAATGTCTGAATGAAATATTAACAACATCAGAGGAGAAAAATACATTATTCAAGTTGTTGAACTAATACAAAAGACGACTTGCTGATATTGCCCACTGTTGGATGATGAATCAATTGAATATATTGTCGCCTCATTTGTCACATTCATTGCTGATGAGTCGGATAATAATTGGCTAAATTAAAACGGTTTTCTATCAAAAATGATAATCGTTGAGTTTTATGAATATCACTGGAATACATTGCAAGCTATATGGATTCTTTTATTCAACTACAAGTTAGCGTTTCATCGAAATTTCATTGAATAAGAAAACTCCTATGAGAGACATATTTTGACTCTTACCAAAACGAACAAAAAGAATGAAAGAAAATATTATCCTAAAGAACTACTGTTAATCGAATGTTTAGAATTTTTTCTATTAATAAATTCAGTTTATTAACTTTACTCAGTAGTCAGAATATACTGGATGCCCAGTAAAAAGCGGTCAATTCGGAAAAATGGGAGACAACCTGTTAAAAACTGGTGACGATTGATGAGACTGAAAAATTCAAGAAGAATTTCTGCACATTTCATCAATCCCCACGTCGGATGTTCTTTGAAAAATACAATAAATTGAAGTTCAAAATCAGTGAGTTGTTTAGTCATACGAGAAGGGCAGAACGAAAGACGAAAGTTGTCGGCAAATAAACTTTAAATGACGAGTCACAAGATCGAGCAGCATTAATCAATCATGAAAGAACAAATTAGAGTTCAGTAATTACGCGACAGTTGAATGATTATACAAAGTTATCAATATTCATGAAAGTTATTCAAGGTCAATTATTCCTGAAAGATAAAATAGTGATAATAAATTTGCCGCTTTTTTACTGGGCACCCTGTATATGTCATTAGGGCAAACATCGCTAACAATAACATTATTATATTATTTTTGTAAATCGGCTCCATTTGTTTTGAAAAAAGGAAAAAAATGTATAGTTTATTTTTGGACAAGCTGTTGCATGTATCTTTGCAATGAGACAATGTTTAAATTGCATTTGATGACAAATAATCTTCTAAAATTGGATCATGGTGAATAAGTCACATCAGGAATCAGGATCATTTTGATGTGTTTTATATAATTAAATTTAAGTCTGTCAACCTAGAACATTATCCATACATATTATTATTATTTTTTTATGATAGTAAAGTTTGCTTGATATTTTGACGTCTTATCAACCTGTTCTTGGTCATTTAAAGCCAGAAAACCTTTTAGATGGTAAGATCTTTTGAGATATAATAATTATTTACTGATATACGTCGCACTAATTTATCCAGAGCTGAAGAGAAAAATGTGGATTCTTACCTTTCCCAAAGGTTTTCTTCGCGTAAGTGAATATGACAAACTCGACATGAATTGAAACTCTGCTTTACGAATTCCAATTTCGAGCTGTTATCCATTGCACGACACACTCATCCAAACTCATACCACCTGGTATTCCCAAGCGATCATGCATCTGGGTACAATCCAGGCTTAATGTTGCTTAACTTCGGTGATCGTACGAGAATAAATGTTTCAATGTGATATGGCCGCAAACCTGATAGTAAATAAATTGGAATCATTTTTGTTAAAGATTAAACTTTACTGATAACAAATTCGTTTTAAGAACATGGAAGCATAATTTTGAAACAATTAAGGCAGAATGAATGATTTGGATTTGTTGCATAGCAAATGTTGTTAGAACTGCAAATTGTAATTACAACTTAGTTGAATTGCACAATATAACACGCTTTTTGTCCACGGGTAGTAATTATTATTTCCTATTAGCTTATGCCTAGAAAGTATGAAAAATGACTAATATTTCCTCCAAACTATGCTTTTGTGAAAAGGATAATGATGTTTCAGAAATTTACCTATTATCATTGGGAAAACTGGCGAATGTGAACCTTCGTGAAAAGTAGGAACAAAGTAAAATCTGATTAAAAAGTAGTAGTTATTTATTATAGGATTACAGAAGAGAAATCACAAAAATAAAAGTGTGTATCTTTTCGCGATTTACGCTTATAACGGCAATTATTTTCACAAATCAGCCTCTGAGTATAGTCTCCTATCATGTTTTCGTTGTACGATCATTGGTAGAACGTTCTAGAAATTCTTGAAACTTTTAGAAACATCTTGAAAATTCTTGTAAATTATAGAATGTTCTAGAAAATTTTCGTTTAGCAGCTTAGAATTTGTCTGGAATGTAATGATAAATTGGTTAGTTTCAAAACATCGTTGTCGAGAGAACAATAACAAAGTTTGAAGGGAATAATAGTCATTTCCATACAGAAGCAATTAGAAAATAACACTTACTCACCAAAGGTTAAAAATCAAAATTTTCTTACACTGTGTTACTGAAACAGAAGTCAAATCCCTAAATTATCGTCTGCTCCAGTATTAACCATATCCAGAAATAAATGTACAATAAAACACTAAAAAGCAGTTATATAACCTAAACTACTTGATAAATGCATTTTGTTGCTCCAGTCAGTTATTTTATGAAAAACGGATAGATTTAAGTTCAAATAGTATTTTTTAGACATGTTTCTTATGCCCAATTCTATTTGAGTGAATCTACTTCCTTTAGAATATGTTCTTTAAAAATTACAAAATCTTTGGGAATATATGGTAATGCGGATCAATAAATATTACTGGTGTAAATGGAGTCAGTAAATTATCGGCTTCATGTAGAGTTGACTGAAGAAATATATAAAACCAAAGAAAACATTTTATAGATTTGTTCATATTATAGACAAAAATCAGTTTAAATGTAATAATGCCTGTGTGAGTTAAAAATGAATTTATATTCTATAAATAAGTGTAATGGAAACTTATGGATTCATTCTTCGACTCATTGTTAAAATAACCGGAAGAATTTTGTTCTTCCTTCTTTGTGATTTTATTCTTCTAACATATCAGGGTCTACTGAATGAGTTTCGAAAATAATTTTCTTCATCAGTGGGTTATTATATTAAAAACATTTTCTCGATTATGATCTTGGCTCAATATTTTCGATGTATTGTTTTCGCTGGTATTTTTTTATCTGTCATTTATACATAACGATAGGCACACGTCAATTTTCAAAATGGTAGCAGTGTATCAGTGATATTTACGACTTTCAGATACCTCGAAATTTTTACACAGAAATAGCGTAAAGACTACAGAGGCTTAAACAGACATAAGTAATGTCGAATAGTAACAATCAGATTAAAACAGGTTTTCTGAGTAGATTATTAGTAACACAAAGCAGCCATTACAATTGGTTTTCGAATTCATAATTGTAAATGATTATAAGGGAATTCCATATGAAATCTTGATAATTTTAAAGGAATATAGTTGGATTTTATAAAAGTGAGAATAATTATAAAGGATGATAAGTAGTTTTTTTTTTATAAACGTTTGGATAATTGTAAATGATTATATCTTGATTGAATAAAAAGTTGGATAATTATTAAGGATTAAATTGAATTTTAGAAACATTTCGATAATTGCAAATGATTATAGGTGAATTTCATATAAAATCTGGATAACTGTAAATGATTATATGTGGATTTTATAAAAGTTTGGATAATTATAAATGTTTATAAACAGATTTTATGGATAATCGTAAAGGATTATAAATGGATTTTATAAAAGTCTGGTTAATTGTAAAGGATTATAAGTCATTTATTATAATGTCAAACCGCAGTATATAATAATATTAATTAATCGATCTTAAATTCATATAACAATTCGATAAATGTAAGAAATAAGCAACATGCAGGTTGAATAACATTTTCCTAATTGAATAATCTTCTTTTATGCTCCGTGTAACTTCAGGACATCGGCGATCATGGCCCTCCACATCTTCCTGTCCCTTGTAACACTTTATAAGTTTTGTCATTTGGTTATTTCTTCCAAACCTTGTTCTACCATTCATTTGCTCAAGCTCATCAAAACAGAGGAAAGCAGCACGTAACATACACGCTGATATCCTCTATCCCTCAAATCTCTCCTGTAAGTATCATGTTTTCTAAGCCCTTCTTTCTCATTACCTAGAAATTTCAACGGCTTCTTTCTGATATTAAGTATAAGTTTCCTTTTTGTTTCCATTTTCACCAAAACCTCATTGTTGTTTACATGTTCAGTACATGTCATCCTCAGCATCTTTCTGTAGAACCAGATTTCTGTTATTTAAAGTTTATTCTTCATCTTTGAAGAGATTGGCCAGCACTCGCTGAAATAGAAGAAAACGCTTGGATTTCGTCAACCGAGTAACCTGTACTGCTTTCTGATGAAGTTTATAAAATATTTCTTTTAAAACAATTTTTCGGGAAAGTATATTAAGTCCAGTAACTGTTATCGCTCTTTCCAATACTGATGGGGGTTTCCTTCCTGACATTTTATTTTGAATCGTGTGAAATGTTAATATGTTGATTATGCATTTATTGTCTCTTTGGGTTACATGTGCTAATCATTTTGGTTGATGCTGTTTTTTATAGTCCACAGATGATATGGTTTCTGTTATTTAGTACAGTTCTTCATTTGTGATTATGACAGATCAGTCCACAACTTTCGAAGAAGGATGATCTTCGTCAAGAAACCCAGGTATAAATCACTTAAGGCCTATTTTTCACCATTGATCTTAGAAAGCGATTGTATATAGCGTACAGTTTAGATATTTCTGGATGGGTTTGCTATCATGTATGCCATCAATATGAATAACCCAAGTTTTCAGATTCAGAAGACTTTGTAGAGATTTTTTTCGAAGAGTATTCTTACCCCAACTATGAATATATATGTCGTCACAACCTCATCATCAGTGAATTTGGCCACGGAAACGTAAGAAGAATCATGTCTTCTATTAATTAATTCGTTTGGGATATGGTATGCCATTCGTAAATGGACATTGCTCATCTCTTCGCATCGGTGCTAGTAGATGCGCTGAGCATAGTCAAGGAAAATTTTTCGGATATTCAGGCCGGTAAATGTTATTTAATGCTGTTTATTAGAAACAGAGCATTTACTAAAATACTTGTATCTATAAAAAGAATGTTCAACATAAAAATGTCTTTAAATATATATATATATATATATATATATATATATATATATATATATATATATATATCAAGAACAGTTGTCTTCCATAAAACGAAGAGGACCTAGATAATATAATGTCCATTAATATTTTCCCACGATGGATCCAGTTGAGATACCTTTGTATGTATGAAGATCTTGAGGGCTAATTTCCTGGGTCCATTATGCATCATAATCCCCAATATTTAGGAATGCATTTCTTATTCCAAACCTCTTTAAGATAATTAACATACTTGAATTCGGGAAGAAAGTAAAGTATTTCCAAAGTTCTGCCTCAATGCCATGTGATGCTTTATTATTATTATTATTATTATTATTATTATTATTATTATTATTATTCTTTAATTTTATAATAGCATTCATAATTTCATCATCAGTAGCTTCATTTTTGTTTTAATTTAGAGACTGACATTGTAACGTATGGATGTATATTGTTATGTGTTGTAGTTTTTCTGGCATCTTAAGTTTAGTGTAGTCAGGGTTGAAATGTGATTCAAAGTGTTTTTTGAGACCAGGACATTTCTTCTGCGTTGGTTTTCATTGCATGATATTATTGTGATTTTTCGCTTTTATCCACATTTTAACACATTGTCTATATTAGTTGTCATAATTAACTTTCTAATTGCCCAAATATACTTGTTTCTCAAACAATTAAATATTTTTCATCTTCTTTGTTAATTGTTTGATATTTTCAATTCTCTTTGTGTCTTCATTTTTTCAATCATGGATTGCTGTCCCTTGGGTGTATCTTTATCATACTAGGTATTCTTGTAATAATTTCACATGTTTCAGTCAATTAGGATATGGTAACATTATTTTATTCACCTATTTTAAATATAATCTGGTATTTTCAACCGGTTTACGTAAACGCATCATTGTGTTTGCAGACTGATTATGAAAAATGATAGATATTATATTTATTTCCCATAATTATCTCCTTACTTATCGAGAGAGTTAATTCAATAAGAGATATTAATCTCATAGTTCAAACGTTATCGTCCAATATAGTGGGTTAAATATTATGTATATTCAACAATGATCCCTAAACATGTACTAAAATTTCTTTAAAGAATTTTGATATTCTTGCATTGGTAAGTGTTAAAACTAATATACGAAGCATGTGATTATAATAATCTGGTAACTTTTTAACATTAAATAACGTTTGAATCTAATTTTAATTATTCTAATTTCTCACTATGAAGTCCTCCCTCTAATCGCAATAATGCATTAAGAGTTTGGCGATACCAATAAGAGCACTAAAAAAAGAGGAAAACTCAAAGTCAAAAAACAACGATAATCAGATTTCTACTTTCCTCAAAGTACATTGTATGCAATATAAAACAATTAAATTTCACTGACAAATATATAGTTAAAGAAATATAAATAGAGATATAGTTATATATATATATATATAGATAGATAGATAGATAGATAGATAGATTTTATATTGTTGCGTATCCTCCTGGTGTGAGTG